CCGGGTGAGAATAGCCACAAGACTCGCCTGCACTATTCTCACTCCGGGTGAGAATAGAGGTGGCCCGTACATTATTGCGCGAGAAAGTGGGGTAGGTGGGGCGGGTGGTTGGGGTGGAGGAGGGGGGCTCAGCAGGGGGGTCTGGACGCACATTGCTGCTGATGGAGGACCGTAGAGGAGATAAGAGACTCTAAAGTTTTTTGTCATCACTTTCCTTTGCATCATGTCCGTTTCAGATCTATTAAATTGTCACATCTGGTGGCTAGACAAGCCATGGCAGGCCTACTCCTCCCCTCTCTCTCTCTGTGTCTCTTTCTGAATACCAGAGATGCCAACCAGTACGGTTTTACGTATTTTAGTACGATTTTTTGCCGAAAATACGCGAATACGACTTTTGATAAAAAAATATACGCATCCTGGAATGCGAAAAATTCGAGATTCAGCTTGGGCGAGTAAACTTTATCTCAAGTCCCATCTTTTGTCAAAATAGTATCAGTATCGCAGAACTGGAATATTTAAAAACCATGTCCGATAAGGTCAGTAAGTTCATTTTTGCCGGTCGCGATCGTGATATTATATTCGTTCAGCTTTTCCACGTTCGGAGAGTCCGTTTCACTTTCACGCGAATAGGCAGCTATGGCAGCAGGCGGAAGCGTATGTGACACCGAGGCTCGATCGGGAAAATCAAGATCTGCTTTCGCTTTCGTTACCACCGAGTAGTTTGCCAGCAGTTGTGTGCTAACGCAACATTTGTGACATGCAGGTTGTGCAGTATAATAAACGCAATGTCGCCGTGCAAATAAAATTTAATCAATGCTCGGACTCGCCTTTGTGCTGTCACTTGTGGAAAAAAAAAGAAAAGAAAATACAAGCGTCATCTGATTTTTAAATTGTCTGGCTCGCCATCGTGACCGGTCACTGAACCTGGGCGCATTCGCATTATAAATAAATGCGGCATCGTGTGAGCAAAGACCGTCTTTGGTGGGAGTAACGGCCTTGCGAAGTATAGGACTACGGAATATGGGAGGAGATTATTTATTTTTTGGGGGTTTAAGATACTATGGGGAGGATGTGAGGGCAACACTAGAGGACAAAAACTTGGAAGAACATTTCAGAATTTTTATTAGAGTTTTCTGCAAAGCGCGCGTTGCTGGTGCAGGCCGTGTGCGGATTCAGAATACCTTTCATACTTTGCAAGTCTGTGTTATTGAAATAATGTGTTTGCGTTTCATTGGATGGGTGATACAGACCTGCCACTCATCCCGATTTAGTCGGGATATTCCGATTTTTTGCCCCAAATCTCAAGCATCCTGATTTTCCCGATTTCGATCGCGTGTATCCCGATTATTTTTTTTGTCCCAGTCTTCTGTTGTGCCGGATCTTTCTAAAAACTTACTCTGCCTTCTCCTTTATCGCGGGAAGCACTCGTAGAACTTTTTGTCAGTAGAAACTCGGAGTACTATTTCCCGAAATATGGATGCCGCATTTAGTAGTTGACTCGCCCCAAGTTGTGTGTGATCTTTTCCCGCGCTCAGAATTCTCCGATGATAGCCTGGTAACTGTTACAATTTGGGACATACAAATAATCGATAATATTCGTAGTTCCGCTGTTACTTTCAAAACAAACCTTGTCCGAGGTCTGGTAACTGCGCGTTCACATCAAACACTCGGACGAGCGACTGTCTTTCTAACCCTTACACACCTAACTGTAACTGCGATGACAAGACTAACAAACGGCTGTTGTCGTTGCTTTAGTTTGAACACATGAGGGATAAGAAATTTGTTGGTACTTTTGGTCGGTCCGCCGCCGTCGTTATCCTAGAAGTAGAACGACTGTCGCTCATCCGAGTGTTTTGTGTGAACGCGCAGTTAGTCGCACCCGTTTGTAAATAGATTGTTTCAATCGCGCATTCGCGTCACCTGACATGTCATCGCCTTGGGAATTCTGCGTGTCGGGGACCGTCCGTTGACGGGGTCTACTTAAGTTCATGTATTTCGGGACTTATTGGTAGAGATAGGTGGGGGTTTATAGACACTTGGACTAGGAGTGCTTGACGCGATGCTTTGGGATTTACAAAAAATAATAACTCGCACGTACTCACGCACGCATGCACGCACACTCACACACACACACACACTCACACACACACACATGCACGCAAACAAAGACACACTGAGGCCAAGGAATTTATGGACACCCCTGGAAAAATTTTAAGTCAGCTTGGCAGTCACCTAGGTGATTTGCTATTGATCCCGATTTTTTTCACCAAATCCTGATTTTTTTCTCCCTGCAACCGAGATCCTGATTTTGAGGTTTCATAAAGTGGCAGGTCTGGTGATAGTAAATTATACCTACAGTGTATGTTGTAGCTTTCTGTTCAAGACTGGCAGATTTTCAGTGTCACTGCATCTTGCCCTCCCACAGTTGTTACTACTCTCACACTGCGTGGGTCTACTTGAGCCATTCAAGTTATTGCTTTTCTCTGAGTTAGAGCAATAATTTGAGTCTGTCAGTTCATAATATGAATCATGACACCCAGACTGGTTCTTGATAGTCGAAATTTTTGTTCTAGGCCCTTCCGAACTCTCAAAGCAGGATTTATTTTTTACGTAATAATGAGAGGAAAATATGGTATAATAGACTTAAATATTTTAGTCAAACAAGGCAAAAATTGACACAAAACGGATGGACATGATCAATGACAGAGAAAGCTTAATGTCATCATCATGTCCACATCGAATCACTATTGCTATAAAATATTTCTAGATCAGATATTTTATACCAATTATATTTATATTTAAACTGTAAAGTATACTTGTCAAACCTATTTTGGGGCCTGGGTATGCTTTACAAAATGCTCAGGGGATGAAGGGATCAATGGACATGAGGCATGACATGTTTCTTCTTGTCATCACTTCATATGTCATGTCCATTGCATATTTGCACGCTCTCTAACCTCTGGCATCTTTTTTGTTTGCTCAAAATTATGTCTCTGAATAAGACAATCAAATGACTTCATCTGGGTTCAAGAGAGTTCTTCAAAATTCATTAAGTTACCAAATAAAAGAGAAATTTACATATCTAACATTACGGACATAATGTATGACAGTAATCCAAGTGGAAATCTGACAGATATTGTTGGTACAGTTGGTCTATTTTGATGTTTTTTGCCTTGATTTGCCCATTTCTATTATCATCCTGGCGAATTTTAGACAAATCCTATTGAAACTTGCAAATTACAGTACACTTTATTGTGTCATCATCATGTCCATTCAATAAGTGAACTTTACCAGAAAATCGAACACAATTACAAAAAAACGGTCAGACTTTTTATCTTTAATTCAGTACATAATGAAACTTCAGCTTATTTGTTGATGAAATGAGATTGCTTTTGGTTCAGTTAGTTAGATTTGAAAAGGGTGACCTTATTTAGGCCACATATGGCCTAAATAAGCTAAACCCCCCTCCTTTACCTTATTTAGGCCACACCTTTATACAAAGTCACAGAAATATTCCTTTTGTGCTTATTGAGGTACAGTTCAGGGTGATTTTACCTGCAAGGATAATTGGACAAAATGGGCAATATCTTTATTGCTAATGGTCATATTTAGACAAATCCTATATCATTGTCTTTTTTTTTCTTAACTGCTCATGGTTATTAAAGAGTAAGCCAACTAGGTAGTAATTTCGGATTACTAATACTAATATTATGGGCATTCTTAAAATTTTTTAACTTGTTTTTAAGCGCTTTTCTCAACGTAAAACGGATTCCGTAAAAAAACAATGACCTATCTTTCTTTTTCAAAGTATTGTGCATATATTTGTGTGAAACTATATATTCTATGCTTTCATGTACATGAAAAAAGCTAATAAAGGCAAGCAAAATGTTCTTCAGAGACATAGATCTAGTAGTAGGCCCACTGAATTTTTTTTATAAACCGGGAAAGATGACCAGAAAATAACAAAATGATTTTATGATCTTCACTTGCACTTGCAATTTTTTTGATGAATTATAGTCTACCTCATTGTCTTTTTTCCCCCTCATTTTTCTTCACTATTCATGACAACTGGCATGTATTGTTTTCAGTTATTATCAAGAAAGTGGATAGGTGGACTATGGGGTCTATCTAGCCAAAAGAATAGGTGGACCCCGGGGTCTACCTAACAAAATGCTAGGTTTTAGGATGTGAACCCCGGAGTGAGCGTAGTGAAATAAGTAGTAGATCTAGGTTTAACTAAGGATCGATGGACCCCGGGGTCAACATAGTGAAATAAGTAGATCTCAGTTTATTTTATAGTAGGACTGGCGTAGCCATGGTCAACGTAGTGAAATTATAGGTAGATATAGGT